GAGTAATGCATTACAAACGTATTTTTTTTTTGGTAATTTTCTTCTAACATAGCAGTGAAAGGCATAACTAATACATTTTCAGTAATATTTTACTCGGTACATGTTCAGTAACGCTTGCATTACAACAAACTTTTTGCCCGCAGTACATTAACAAATAAAAATATATTTTTCTTAAAAAAATATCATTTTTCGATTAATAATTTTTCGTGCTTTCTGCTCTCCAGAGATCCTCCTGTTAAATTGTTATCCTAAGAGTGTTGATATGGTTTATATATAACTTACAGGTTAAGGTAAATTCTATAATAAATACTAGGGTTTTTGAGTGTTAGGTATACTGCCTGTTTTAGGCTAGTATTATTTACGACTTGTTACTGAATGCTTTAGCATACTGTAGTATTAAGAATAGTGAACTGAGAAAATGAAATACAAAATGTAGTTTTGCTACATTAAATTGTAGAATAATATATCCTATATTGAAAAAAACTACAGCACTGGGTAATTTGTTTGTATTACACTTGTTGTGTTACCATAGCAACTATAGTATTACCACAACAGATTAATTGAAGTGCTTTACTGTAGTAGACTACTGTCCAAAACACTGTACATGCCATTATATGTGTTCATGGCCCTGTGGGACAGCTTCTTCTCAAAATGAAGAGGATAACAGGGAACATGTCCTCCAAAATCTCATCAACAATGTGGAAGACCACAGAGAGTAGTTCACTTTATTTTAGTTGCCATGATAATTTATTTGATTTATTTGAAGAGTGAATATTACAGTAGGCTATAATACCTTATCAAGTTTTTCCCTATTTTTATCACAGCAACATTTCTGCTTGCGTTACTTATATTTATGTTTAAATGTTTTTTTTTTTTTTTTAGAATGGTAAACCTTAAAAATAAAATGTTTTTAAAATAAAATGTATTCTTTACATTCAACGTCTATTTAACTAGTCTTTGAAACTGTAAATATCTCATCATATAACATACAGCCAAAAATGGTATGATTTATAAGATTGAAAATTGAATATGTAAGTCTATTTTAGTATTTTGGTTATTGGTAATAACTAGTGTACTAATTCAAATTGTATCAAAAAGTATGAAAGGAGGAGGGTACACAAGACACAAATTGTGAGTCTGCATATAATCCCACTGAGCAAGCAGTGTACTGAGAGCGCGCAAGAAAATATGTGTGTGAGCAGTGCATATTTGAGAGCTCATAAGCAGTTTTGTCCAAAAACAGAGGAAATTAGTGCACGCCTATTATATTGAGAAAGCTATGTTCTTCATGTTCACTTTGTGCATGACAGTTTTGTGTTGTGAACAACCTGAATTTAAAGTGAATACAATAATGGCAACAATGAGAATAGAAAAAAAATCTGCATCTTGTCATGGCATTGGAGATTACATATAGGCCTATTGTGTCTATTATAAATATAGACGATCTTTAGAGATATTGCCAGACAATCACTTTACCTCTACCATACTTTTAACAGACTTAGTTCATTTGTGATTCTGACTGTCATCCTTTCGACATCAAGATGGCACCGAGAATGGCCGCCGTGTTGCGATCTCCCAGCCAACTTTGTTGTGTTTTGTGTGTTTTACTTATATTTTTGTCGTTTTTCTTGCTGGATGTACACACTCTCATTACCTACGACAGACACAAACTTTGGGAAATTGGCTCCCTCGTTGCACATCGAAGACCAGACTTTGAGTTCTTTAACAACGCTCCGTTTTAAACACAGCAACAGAGCCCTTAGTCTGGTTCACAAAACCGAAAAGATGAAGCACCATTCTGCTGGCTAACGTTGAGTCACTGGACAACAAACTTTGCGAGCTACGGGCACGCATTTTCTTCCAACGGAAAACAAGAAACTGCTGCATTATCTGCCTTATAGAAACCTGGCTATCTGCAGTGGTTCTAGACACAGCTGTTGAATTTTCGGGGTTCTCCATGCACTGCGCAGATAGAACAAAAGAACTCAAAGAACTCGGAGCGGGTTGGGTGGCGTAAGACTGGCGGGGTTACATTGGTGCCGTAACCCAAATGGGAGTGAGGTTTAGGGGGGTGAGTGTAACGGAGGCCAGCTAGTAAGTGCTGAGCAGGTAGAACCTCACTCCTCTGACCTCTAAAGGTGCTCTAGCGACAGACGCTAGAGGCCATGGTCTTTAGCCTCCTTGGTAGAGCAACCGACTCCCATGCGGAAGGTCGCCGGTTTGAAACCAGCTCGGAGCGGGTTGGGTGGCGTAAAGCCGGCGGGGTTACACCAACAAAAACTGTCCAAATCTACCCCAACCAAAAACCTTGGATCAATGGTGAAGTTCAAACAGCCCTTTCAGTATGAACATTCTATTTCTATAAATCTAGAAATGCTGAGGAATAAAAACAAGCAAATTACAACCTCAGGAAAACCATCAAAGCAGCAAAACCTCAATACAGAGACAAAGTAGAGGGTCAATTTAACACCATTAACGTAAGGAGCATGTGGCAGGGATTTAATAACATCATGGACTTTATAAGTAACAAACCCGCCACTGTAAACATTGCTGCGTCTCTCCCAGACAAGCTCAACTCGTTCTACGCCCGCTTTGAAGCCCAGGACAGTGAGCACACACTGTGCGCTCCCGCGGCCGAAACCGAAACTACAAGCACACTCTCTGTTTCTGTAGCGGACGTAAGAAGATCTTTCCGTTGCGTGAACATCCTGAAAGCTACTAGCCCATCCCTGGACGTGTACTTAAAGCATGCGCACACCAGCTAGTGGGGGTTTTCATGGACATCTTTAACCTCTCCCTCTCTCGGCCTGTGGTTTCCACATGCTTTAAGACAGCTACTATTGTGCCCATAGCGAAATCAGCTAAAACCACATCCTTGAATGACTGGTGTCCAGTTGCTTTGACACCCATCTTCAGCAAGTGCTTTGAGAAGCTCATTAAAAAGCACATCTGCTCTGTACTGCCCGCTCACACTGACCATCTGCAATTTGCGAACAGGAATAATCACTCCACTGATGATGCAATTGCTTTCACCTTGCACACTGCTCTGTCTCATCTGGAAAACAAAAACCCATATGTGAGAAATGTGGACTACAGCTCAGCATTCAACACCATAGTGCCTGCCAAGCTGGTGGTTAAGCTCCAGGATCTGGGTCTACACAGCTCTCTGTGCAACTGGATCCAGGACTTCCTGTCAAGCAGATGCCAGGTGGTCAGAATAAACAACATTACATCATCCACACTGATCCTCAACACTGGTGCTCTACAGGGCTGTGTTCTCAGCCCACTCCTGTACACACATGACTGTGCAGCCAAACACAGCTCCAACTTCATCATTAAATTTGCTGATGACACCGCGGTGGTGGGCCTAATCACAGATAATGATGAGACGGCCTACAGAGAGGAGGTGCACACTCTGACAAAGTGGTGTGAGAAAAACCACCTCTCACTCACCATCAGCAAAACCAAGGAGCTGGTGGTGGATTTCAGGAGAGAGAAGAGAGAACCCACCACCATCAATGGTATACCAGTGGAAAGAGTCAGCACTTTCAAGTTTCTTGGAGTATACATCGCTGAAGATTTAACATGGGCTGCTCACACAGACACAGTGCTGAGGAAGGCACAACAACACCTCTTCTTTCTCAGGCGTCTTAGGAGGTTTGGAATGAGCCCCCACATCTTCCGCTTGTTCTACACCTGCACTGTGGAGAGCATCCTGTCTGGCTGTATCAGCACATGGTATGGAAATAGCACCAGCAGCAATCGCAAAGGCCTACATAGGAATGTGTGAACTGCTGGACACGTGTATATATATATATATATATATATATATATATATATATATATATATATATATATATATATATACATATATATGTGTGTGTGTGTGTGTGTGTGTATATACACATAGTGATTCTATACATAATAATTTTAATGGTTGCTCACTCACAAACGCATGGATCACAGGAATTATCAAAAAACACATATTTATTGTATTTACACAAAACCACTTACAGGCCAAGAACATGAACTCACACAGGAGATGATGGCAATTCAATACCGGACAATAGATAAACTGAACTCAGGGGTATAACTGCACAAGGGATGACTAAACTGAAAACATACAGGGGTGCTAGATAGGTGGAACTGAAATTGATAAATGGCTGGAAAACTGAACAAAGTAATTGCATGACGTAAAAAGAAGCATATGGAACAAACTGATGGGACATCACGAGACACAACACCTACATCACAACTACTCCAACCCTGTTCCTGGAGAACCACCTTCCTGCAGATTTCAGATGCAACCCATATCAAACACACTCGACTGTAATTATCACGTGGTGTTCAGGTCCTAATTAATTGGTTCAGGTGTGTTTGATATGGGTAGCAACTGAAATCTGCAGGAAGGTAGCTCTCCAGGAACAGGGTTGGTCACTCCTGAACTACATGAACACAACACATAAACACACCAGACTCATGGCAGTATTTAAGGAGTTGTCAGTTGCCACTGGGAAAAAAAAGAAAAATATCATAAGCCACTAAATAAATCATAATCAAATGGGTAATAAATATTGCTTAAATGTATTTGTAAATAAATTAAACCATATTGGCTGTGTTGGCTTATTAGTCCTATTCTGGGTTTGACTACATCATCAACTCATGGCACAGATGATAGTTTGCTTTTGCCTCAGTAGTAATCTCAGCAGTTTTCTCTTCAACATATTTAAATATACTTCAGTGTTGTTTGCACTAGCAGTTTTTATTGTGCGATTTCAGATAATCTCCTACACCAACCCATCTCCCCCTGTTTTTAAACTTGCTGCTGGGGTTACATGTTTCCTGCCAAGACCAATGACATTAACATTTTCATATACATATTCATTACCAAATCTCTCAAGACTAGAGTTTTGTCACTGGGTTGTCATGGCAAAATTACTTTTTTTGGTTTCATGTTAGACTGGTAACCCATTTCTAACCAATTAAAAATGTCTTTTCAGTGTTTCAGGAGGAGAGCTTTTTGACTTCTTGGCTCAGAAAGAGTCACTTTGTGAAGAGGAAGCCACTGAATTCATCAAACAGATCCTCAATGGAGTTCAGTATCTGCACTCCAAGAAAATAGCACATTTTGACCTGAAGGTATTAGTTTTGTCTATAACTGTCTCAGAGATATAGATTCATATAAATGACTTTCAGAAACAGCTGTAATGGTTGTCATGGCAACAGTTTAGTTCTTCCTCATGAAGTTAGGTGAAATGGACTTTAGTGAAGAACAATTGGGTCGATTGCATGGAAACATCTGAATTTTGCATGACAATACACCTGTTAACTTTTCTGAAGCTTTAGTACTATTTCTTGGAAATGTATGCAGAACACAAATTTAGATATTTTAGATCTACCTTGTCCTCCATTGACAGAAATGTTTCTAATACATTCAAAGGGTAGAAAATAAACCAAAATCATTGTCAAAACATGTCATATGAAGCTCCAAGAACATATTTGTGGGCCAAAAAACTGGAAAAATTACTTTGCTTGACTTCAACAAGTGATCAGGATGCACATTTACTATGGCCAATTCACAAGATCACACTCACACATAGAAAACAGATTAAATAGCATATTTGGCATGCTGTCCAGGTAGAGGAAGGAAAGACATCTGAGATCGGGGCCAGTAAGCTCCGCATAATGCAAGTATTAACCGGACAGTCAAACTCCTATTAAGAATCCCTCAAATTGCAAGACTTTAACCAGGGGGGAGCTATGTTAATACACAGCTGTCTCACTATTTAGGGGTTGATATAATGTATATGAGAATCTCTAGCTGGATAAAAACAGTGATGCATGTTTGTTCCTGCGGGCTGGTAATGCTGTGGCAGTGTAGTATGTGTGTCCCTGTGGGACTGAGAATGCTGAATTAGTAATGTCTGCACATCCCTGCGGGGCTGGAAATGCTGCATCAGTGGTGTTTGTGTATCCCCGCAGGGCTGAAAATGCTGCTTTAATGATGCATGTGTGTCGATGAAGGCTGGAAATGCTCCATTAGTGGTGTATGCGTATGCCTGTGGGGCTGGAAAGGCTGCACTAAAGATGTATGATTTTCCCTGCGGGGCTGAAAATGCTGCACTATTTTGGAGTATGCATATCCTTGCGGGGCTGAAAATGCTGCACTAGTTATGTATGTGTTTCCCTGTGGCCTATAAATGCTGCATTAGAAATAAATAGGTGTCCCTTGCTAAAAAGATTCAGCAGTAATGCATGTGTGTTAAAAAAAGTTGTGTGTGCATGTCCCTGTGAGGATGGAAGGCTGCATTAGTAAAGTATGCAAGTTTCTGCAGGATGCAAGTGCTGGGGCACTTATAATTATAAATAGCTCTAAACCAGCTCTAAAAAATTATAGCTCTAAAAAATTATAAATATCTCTAAACCAGCTACGTGTATGCTGGACTCAATTCCAACAAAATTACTGAAAGAGCTGCTACCTGCTATAGGAGAACCTCTTCTTAACATTATCAACTCTTCTTTATCTATAGGCCATGTTCCAAACTCTTACAAGCTAGCTGTTATTAAGCCTACTATTAAGAAACCGCAACTAGACACCAACAACTTAGCTAACTATAGGCCTATTTCAAATCTTCCATTTATGTCTAAAATACTAGAAAAAGTTGTTTCCACTCAATTATGCTCTTTTCTGCAGACGAACAATATTTTTGAAGTGTTTCAGTCAGGTTTCAGGGCTAAACACAGTACAGAAACCGCCTTAGTGAAAATAACCAATGATTTACTCTTAGCTGCTGACCGAGGGTGCGTCTCGCTATTAGTTTTACTCGATCTTAGTGCGGCATTTGATACCATTGACCACAATATCCTCATAAATCGCTTAAAGTCTACAGGTGTCCAGGGACAGGCTCTACAATGGTTTAAGTCATACTTAACTGACCGCTACCAGTTTGTGAATATTAATGGACAGCCTTCTAAAGTCAGTCCAGTAAAGTATGGGGTGCCTCAAGGATCAGTTTTAGGCCCTTTACTGTTTACAATTTACATGCTACCTCTGGGAGACATTATTAGAAGACATGGGATCAGCTTTCACTGCTATGCAGATGATACTCAATTACATATTTCAACTAAACCTGACGAGACGTCTGAACTTTCTAAACTAACTGAGTGTATCAAAGACATCAAAGACTGGATGACCAACAATTTTCTTCTCTTAAACTCTGACAAAACAGAATTATTACTTATTGGGCCTAAATCTTGTACACAGCAGATCTCGCAACTCAATTTACAATTAGAGGGATTCAAAGTTAGTTTTAGCTCTATCATAAAAGATCTGGGTGTCATATTTGACAGCAATCTAACTTTTAAAAACCATATATCCCATGTCACAAAAACTGCTTTCTTTCATCTGAGAAATATCGCTAAATTACGAAATATGCTATCCATCTCAGATGCAGAAAAGCTAGTCCATGCTTTTATGACTTCGAGACTGGATTACTGTAATGCTCTATTTGCTGGCTGCCCAGCATCCTCTATTAACAAACTTCAATTAGTACAAAATGCAGCAGCCAGAGTTCTGACCAGGTCTAGAAAATATGATCATATAACCCCAATTTTATCCTCCTTACACTGGCTGCCTGTTAAGTTTCGTATTGAATTTAAAATATTACTTCTCACCTATAAAGCTCTAAATAATCTAGCTCCTGTTTATCTAACCAACCTTCTGTCTCGCTACAAACCAACTCGCTCTTTAAGATCTCAAAATTCAGGGCTTCTGGTAGTACCTAGAATAGCAAAATCAAGTAAAGGAGGTCGAGCCTTCTCTTTCATGGCTCCAACACTGGAATAGCCTTCCTGATAACGTCCGAGGGTCAGACACACTCTCCCAGTTCAAAACTAGATTAAAGACCTATCTTTTTAGTAAAGCATACACTCAATGCATCACCTAGCGGGTTCCACACAGGCTTCTGCATCTTGCTTATATACACTATGAACAGCAGCTACGCTAATTATTTTCTTTATTTTCTATTTTCACCTGGGGATACTCATCCCGAGGTCCTCAGATTGTGCGGAGTCACTGATTGGATCCAAGACCAGCGACGTGATGATCCCAAGGATTCCATATCCGGGACCAGGCCATATCCTGAGCTGCTGCTGCGCTGATGGTCATGGGCAGTTGAGAACATGAGTCTGATTCTAGCGACGCTCCAGGGACAGACAAGTCTTCGCTGAGGCCATCTTCCAGCCTAAACCACGGCGAATTAAGCTCTGCACAAGACTTTTGGCCAGCGGAGAAATTAAAATGGTCGTGCCCAACTGAGTCTGGTTCTCTCAAGGTTTTTTTTCTTCACTCCCATCAGGTGAAGTTTTTTTCCCTTTCCGCTGTCGCCACTGCCTCGCATGGTTCAGGATCGGTAGAGCTACGCATTGATGAACTTGCTCTTCAGTGTTTGAACTCTCAGTAATGATTAAATCACACTGAACTGAGCTAAACTGAACTGAACTTAAACACTAAAACCTGAACCACACTGTTCCAGTTACTGTGACCATTTATGTGAAGCTGCTTTGACACAATCTACATTGTAAAAGCGCTATACAAATAAAGCTGAATTGAATTAAATTGAATTGGGGCAAAATGTATGCATGTTTTTAGTGTAAGCTTAAAGTACTATGACGGTAATGTGCGTGTTCATATATCTAATGTGTGCGTGTGTGGATGTGGGAGAGTGATACAGTGTGGGAAGAGAAGTTCTATGAGGTTTTGCTTGGTTTCTTTGATGTGTGAGAAGTCTGTAAGAATATATTTCTGGAAACCTTCGGATGACCAGCTGAGGGTTTGAATCTGCTTTTGAAGAGGACAGTTTTGAGCCACAGTGGTAGCTGCTCCTATCCTGAATGAATGGCTGGAAAAGTTCTCTGGTAGGAGAAAGAAGAAATGGTTTTACTGTCTAGTGCTATGAGATCTGAAATGATGTTTAGGTTGAAATTGTAAGTAATGGTAATCTAGAGGCAAGATGGACAAAGTGCACAACGCAAGGCTGAGCGTCTCTCCCGTTTCTGCAGTTTGCAGTATTATTCCTGCTCATTTCAGGTCTGTTCGTGCAGAACAGTGGTGCCTTTACATCGTACACCGGACAGGATATTTTGGATATTGGTTTGTGCATTCCGGACAGTTTTATTAACAATCTTCGACTCATCCCTGAGATCGCCAGAACACCCCAGGCTGAGCACCCTGCCCGGCCGGGCGGAAGTGCTTGGAGGCGGCGAAGAGATTGTAAACAAAGACGGGGGAAGCGCGGTGGGCTAAGAGCTAAGCTAAAGCTAACACCACACCGGCTTTCTTTACCCAGCATCTTTCTCACCAATGTACGGTCAATGGTGAACAAAATAGATGAGATTCGACTGCGCATCAACCACAGCAAAAGATTATGGAACTGTAATGTCATGATTTTCACAGAAACATGGCTAAACAGCGGGATACCAGACAATGCTGTATCGCTAACTAAGCACCACACCTTCCGAGCAGACAGAACGACGGATGACTCCGGTAAGACCAAAGGTGGAGGATTATGCATTTATAATAGCAAAGCTTGGTGCACAAACTCTGTCAACCTTGGGAGACATTGCTCTGCTAACCTGGAATTTCTAATGGTTAAATGTAGACCGTATTATCTGCCACGGAGTTAACATCCACCATTGTGACTGCTGCTTATATTCTTCCTGATACTGATGCCAAGTTTGCTATGAACGAACTTTATGCAGCCATCAGCAAACAACAGACTGCTCACCCGGAAACAAAACCTTAGACCATGTTTACACAAACATGGCTGAAGCATACGCTGTGACCCCCTCCCCCACCTGGGTCAATCAGATCACCTTTTTTTGTTACTTACCCCCATCTACTCACCCCTCATCAACCGTGCGAAGCTATCAGTATCATTACCAACTACAAACAGCATCACAAACTACACACCAGGATCACATCCTCAACCCACCACTCACCTATCACACTCACTTCCTCAGAAGTATATACCGCACTGAGTCGGGTCAATGTACTTAAGGCTGCTGGACCAGATGGTATTTCTGGGCGCGTCCTCAAAGCATGTGCAGAACAGCTCGCTGGGGTAATCACAGACATTTTC